CTCTGCCACTATCTTCCCCAGCACCCCTGGGATCAGTGGAAGAGGAGGGAATGCATAAAGCAACCCCTGGGGCCACTTGCTGCGCAAGGCACTGCTCCCCTCCGCTCCCCGAGTTGGGAACCGCGTGAAAAATCTGGGGAGCTGACTGTTTTCCGGAGACGTGAAGAGGTCCACCTCTGGCCCTCCGAATCTCCTGCAAATCTCCTCGAACAGCTCCGGGTCCAGTTGCCACTCCGTCTGATCCACCGTGGGCCTGCTGAGCCAGTCCGCCTTGTGATTTGCTTCCCCGGAGATGTGCTCCACCTTGATGGACAGCAGGTGCCTCTCTGCCCAGCGGCCCAGCCTCTGAGACTCATCCCGGAGGACCTTGGAATGCATCCCTCCCTGCTTGGTCACATGAGCCTTTGGGGCTACATTGTCTATCAGCAGCAGGACGTGGCTGTGTGCTAGGAGGGCCTGAAAGTGTCGAAGGGCCAGATAAGCCGCTCGCAGTTCCAGCCAATTAATATTGTGTGTAAGGTCCCAGGGAGACCAGCAACCCTGAGCCAGCTGGGTCCCCAGCAATGCCCCCCAGCCATAAAGGCTCGTGTCCGTGGTCAGCGTGAGCCTCTGCAGCTCCCTGAACACGCACCCCTTGGCTAAGGCCGGAGAGGTCCACCACTTTAGGGAGAGTCACACATTGGCAGGAACCTGAACTAGAAACAGAGAGGCGCTACGCTTGCTCCTCTGGTATGGGAGCAAGAACCATAGAGGGGTCTAGCATGAAGCCTCGCCCAGGGAACAAGATCTATACAAGAGATCATCTTACCTAGCAAGTGCGACAAGGTGACAATGGGCACACGCTTCTCTTTCTGCACCTGTTGAACTAGTTTCACCAGACTAATCCTGCGGTCTTGGAACAGGAAAACCATCCCCGCGGCAGTGTGAATGACCGCCCCCAGATGCAACAACCTGGTAGAAGGCCTCAGATGGCTCTTCTGGAAATTAACAGAGAACCCATACCTCTGCAGGGTCTCCACTGTCAGGCCAAGATCCTGAAAGGACCGCTCCAGTGACTCCACCTGGAGGAGGATGTCATTACATAGCATTGTATTCTGATAGAGACAGCCCTGAGATGAGCCACTAGAGCTGCCAGTACGTTCGTAAAGGTCCTGGGGGCCAAAGCCAGCCCAAAGGGAAGAATCCTGTACTGGTAGTGGGTACCAGCGTAGGAGAACCTAAGAAACTTCCTGTGCTGGGGAAAAATGAGTATGTGCAGATAGGCCTCCGTCAAATCAATGGGCGCCAAAAAATCACCGTCCCTGACACCTTCCAGAATGGAACGGAGGGATGCCATCTTAAACAGTTTATACACTAGATAGCAGTTCAACCTTTTAAGGTCCAGAATCGCTCTCCACCCCCCCCCCCAAGGGCTTAGAAACCACAAAGAGGTTAGAGTAGAACCCCCTGCCTCTCTCATTCTGTGGAACTAACTCAATGGCCCGGATCCCGAACAGTCGAACAGTTGATCTCGCCTGACGCATAAGTTCCCTCTTAACCTCACACTTGGAGGACGTGAACATTCGAAAGCAATTCAGGGGGATGGAAAGGAATTCCAGCCACAGACCAAATCGAACAGTATTGAGGACCCAGAGATCCGATGTAATACTCTCCCACCAGTCGGCAAACAATGCCAACTGGCCACCAATGGGGGCTGCCGAGGCCCGCTCATTTATTCCTGCGGAAAGGGCGTCCACCTGCCCCCCGAAAGGGCCGCTTACTCTCAGGCTGAAACCGGGATCTATCCCTGTAAGAAGACCTATCCTGCCCCCTGTCCTGGTGCGGCTGGAACCCCCTAGGCTGATAATCATAATCAGCATCAGCACTCCTATAAAGTGCCCTACGTGTGTAAGGTGTAAACTGAAGGTCCTGTTTCTTGTGGCTGGCAAAATCTTATGTTTGTTCTTATCCTCAATAAGAATCTGGTCCAGAACTGCGCCAAACAGATGCTTCCCCGTATACGGGCCCGCCGCCAACTGCCATTTCGCCTTAGCGTCCGTCTGCCAATTCCAGAGCAACACCATCCTTCTAGCTGAAACAGGAGGAAAGAGCCCTAGAGGCAAACTTAGTGGCGTTCAAAGTTGCATCAGCCGAAAACTGGGTCGCAGCAATGTCCTTGCTGATGTCCTGCAGCAACCTCACATCGTACGCAGGAACCTGCTCATGCATCTGTTCAAGCCACATCAATGTGGCGCGGTTGAAAAAGGAAGCAGAGGAGGCAGCCTTAATTGCCCACGTCGCCGACAGGTACGTCTTACGTAACGCCAGTTCAGTCCTTTTATCTTCCGCCTTCAAGTTGTCCGCCACATTACTGGCAACCATGGGCGTCGAAGATGCCAAAGCAGCCACAGGAGCATCCACCTTCGGGACCTGCAGAGCTTGAGAGAAATCAGGCTCCATATTATAGAAATGCCGATTGTTCCCACCCGGGGTGGGGAAAGTACCTGGCTTGGCCCACTGTTTCTGAATCACATCCAGAAATAGCTTCGGAGCAGGAATTTCCTCCTTCCTTGCTGCAGGCTCCACAAAGAAACCCTGTTTCCTTGGGGCCTTCTTTGACGTCAAAGCCTCAACCGCCATCTCCTTCTCCTCTTGCTTGTCAGCCTCCGTCTCAACGGCCGCAGTGATCCTGGCCTTGAAAAGCAAGGAACGAAACAAACCTGCAAAGGCGGGAACCTCGGGCGCCAAACCTTTGTCATCAGAAAGTTCCGTCTCCTTCTGCTCCTCATCCTCCTGGACCGAAACCTCGCTCCTCAATGAGGTGACACCTCTCTCTGCGCCTTGTCCAAACGAGCGGCCGGCTCCTGGAAGTGTTTGCATCTGGCCTCCATCAGCTCTGCATCTGCCTGGTCTGAGGAACGCCCCTGAAGAGCTATACCATGGGCTATGGCTCGATGAATAAGAGATTGAATGTTATCAGGCAAGCCGAGGTGGCGCAGTGGTTAAATGCAGCACTGCAGGCTACTTCAGCTGACTGCAGTTCTGCAGTTCGGCTGTTCAAATCTCACCGACTCAGGGTTGACTCCGCCTTCCATCCTTCCGAGGTGGGTAAAATGAGGACCCGGATTGTTGTTAGGGGCAATATGCTGACTCTGTAAACCGCTTAGAGAGGGCTGAAAGCTCTATGAAGCGGGTATATAAGTCTAACTGCTATTGCTATTGCTATCATCGAATTCACCTGCAGTGTGGCTGGGGCCAGGTCTGGGTGCCAGTCTTTGTTTCTGAACTGGTCTTGGAACATGCTCTAAGCTTGCAAAAGGATGACCACCATGTTCCTCGTCCCCCACCTCCAAGAGAGGGGGCGAAATAGAGCTAGCCCTTGGAGACTGTGAGAGCCGAGCCGCCCTCAATACTGGAGGAGACCTCACGCTGGGCAGAGAGGACTTCTCTCCACCCTCATGTCTGTGCTTCTCAGTGCCCCAATCCTCCTTGCCCCCTTGCTTGGTGGGCCCATGCTTCACCAAGCCTGGGGGCTTAGCTGAGAAAGCCTTCCTCTTCCTAGAGCTCTTCTTGGTGGAGACACACGCCATCCCAGAGGTATCTTCACCGAGGGAATCAGCCATCGCTGCACCCCCCACCAGCTCACACATGCTAGGCAAATTTTCCTACGAAAGGGAAACAAGGCCCCGCAGCCGCCCTCCGAACGTGTGACCGCACAAGCAGGATCTGGCAGCAACAATGAGCCTTGTGTGCATGGAGTGGGAAACAAAATGGCTGCTGCCCTCGTGACTCACAATAGCAACCAAAATGGCCACCACCTCGTGGCCACAAACAAATTGACTGCCGCCATGTGGCCACAACCAATATGGCCGCCCTCACGAGGACTTCACTAATAAGGCCGTGCAAGGAATTCCACCAAGATGGCCGCCCCCAGGGCCCCATACTCACATGGCAAGGTAGCTGTCGACGAACGGCCCGGCAAGCAGACGGCCCCGAGACACCTGGCCACACGACACCCGGCCACGCCACACAGCGCTGCCTCTCCAGTAGCCTGCGCCAATAGCGGCTCCGCTTCACCGCACTCACTTGCTGCCATGTGGAGGTGCTGACGCTCTTCCTGACGTGTCCCCGCACCAGCCGCGATGCCACAAGCCTGCCTATGCCCCTGATAACCAGTGGCAAGCACAGGGACCAGCCACAGTCCACAATGCTTGAACGGTGCAACCACGGAGCCGCGAAAACACGAGCACCCAAAATAGCCAGAGCAGCGAGTGGCGCTCCCCAGTCGCCCGGGAAGCCTCCTGATATGGCACATGGCCCAAGCCACCTCGCAATCGAAACCAGGGTAGAAACAACGACTTGAGAGCCAAGTCAGGCACCCAGCTTAAGCAGGCAACACCAAAAATTCATCAGAAAAACACTACAACTAACAAAATAAAATAACAAACCAAAACCAACTCACGAGCAGTGAAAAACATATCTCTTTTCAGGCAAGACTGAGTCGGAATTGGGGCCAAGCAGGAAGGAGCTAGAGGCGTGGCTTCAACTATGACTCAGTCTCTTGGGCAAATAAGGATTGAACAACCCATCTCTGGACCCTCCTGCGCCATCAGCTAGAGGACAGGAATTCTTGTGTGTCTTATTTTGAACAAAATAATATCTGGATGGGGCAAACAGGGTAAAGACTGTTGATCACCTCCTCCTCCTCCCCTGTACAATTCACAGCATAATGTATTCCACTAGCCTACGCCCCCCATTTATTGGCTTTGTTTTCATCCCTTTAGTGCAGTGTATCCCTCTTCTGTACCCTGAAAGGAAATTCCATAAATTATCACAAAAGTTTTTAAGGCAATATGTTACACTTCTGTTAAGCCACAGAAGACCCTTTCCACTAGCTCATAAAATAAAATTTATATATCTAGCATGCAACTTGTGTCTCAAAATTAAAACTCTAATAAAAATTTGCCAAATATTGTCTGTTATCTTAGCAAGCTTCTTTTTAACCTCTCTATTGCCAACAGCTGATTTAATGGAGTTGGATATGGCAATTGAGTCCGATAGAAAGGCAGCTGTCAGTCACTGGCAGCAACAGTCATACCTGGATTCCGGTATCCACTCTGGTGCCACAACAACAGCTCCCTCTCTGAGTGGCAAGGGAACCCCAGAAGAGGAAGAAGTTGATACCACCCACGTTCTATACGAATGGGAACAGGGATTCTCTCAGTCCTTCACTCAGGAACAGGTTGCTGGTAGGTAGAATTCTGTGATTGTATTAATCCCTCCAACTGTATATCAGATGAAAAAGTGCTTACGCCTATTCCAGAAATTGAGCGACAATATGCTATGACCCGAGCACAGAGAGTGCGTGCTGCCATGTTCCCTGAAACATTGGATGAAGGCATGCAAATCCCATCAACACAGTTTGATGCTGTTCATCCAACAAATGTACAACGACTTGCTGAACCTTCCCAGATGTTAAAACATGCTGTGGTTAATTTGATAAACTACCAAGATGATGCAGAGCTTGCAACTCGTGCCATCCCAGAATTGACCAAATTGTTAAATGATGAGGACCAGGTATGTGCACATTGATTCAGCTTATATTTATTGTGATTGC